GTGATATTATGCAAATTTCTACTGATATATGAATCACTATAAATATTGATATCAACCAGTGAAATATCCAGTTTGTTGAGAAATAAATCGAATAAAGAAGGATATGTCGGATACAGGTGTCAAATCAGAAAAAAAGAGCTATCTATTTGAGGTCAATGAGTTAGAAAAAGAGGTCCCGTTTGAGTCTGAGAAGCTTGCGCAGTTGAAAAAAGATGCTGCATCAATATCACGGGCAAAATTATTGCAAAAAATTGATTTCAAAGTGTTACCTGTTTTTGCTATTATTTTTTTTGTTTTTAGTTTAGATAGGTCAAATATTTCTCAAGCGTTAACTGACAACCTACTTGAAGACTTGAACATAGATCAAAATATTTCCAACATTGGAGTATCTTTATTATGGGGTGCCATCTGTATCGGCGATATTCCATCTAATATGATTTTATCTAGAATAGGTGCTAAATATTGGATACCAACCCAAGTAATTGTTTGGAGCATGGTAGCGACTCTTCAATGTTTGATTCAAGACAAAAATGGATTCTTAGCAACTAGGTTTTTTTTGGGATTAGCTGAATCTGGCTTTATTCCCGGTGCTTTAGCATTTTTAAGCAACTTCTACACTAAGAAGGAATATGCGAAAAGAGTAGTATTTTTTTTCTACGGTAATGCTTTCGCTTCTATGTTTGGACCATTGGTAGCTGCTGGTATTTTGAAATTGAGAGGGAATGCTGGTTTGGAAGGATGGAGATGGCTTTGGCTAATTGAAGGTCTAATGACTTTTGTTGTTGGAGTGGCTGCTTACTTTGCAATCCCTAAATCAGTATCTGATAGTAAAACTCTTATTTTTGGACACATACTTAATGACTATGAAGCTAAAGCCTTTAAATCACAGTTAATATTGGCTGATAAGTCAAATGAAAAAGGGAATTCTCCAATTAAAGCATCTACAGTATTTGATGCTTTAATTGATTGGAGAATATATCCTCATATTTTTATGGCTATAGTAGGTCTAACTGCTCTTCAACCTACAATGACATACGGATCTTACATTTTAAAAGAGGTTGGGTTTAGTACTATCAATTCCAATCTATTGGCAATTCCATGGACTGCTGGTAGTCTACTAAGTACTCTCGGGTTAGCTACGCTTAGTGACAGATATAATGATAGGTCTGGATTTATGTTAATTGCTTCTCTATGGTATTTGATAATCGCTGTACTAATCAGAATATTGAATACACGATTATCAGCTTGGAGATTTTATGCCCTATACTCAGTTTATCAGATGGCACCTTCTTGGCATAATATCAACGTGGCTTGGATCACTTCCAATCAATGTTCTAGCGAAAGGAAATCTATCATTCTAGCTTTTTATTTTATGGCAGCCAATTTTGCCGGAATTCCCGGTAATCAAATCTTTAGAGAGGAGGATAAGCCTAAATACCTTAAAGGGTGGGTTGCTGTGTTAGTATTATATGTTTTATTAAATTGTCTTATAATAGGACAAAGAATTCAATATTCATGGACAAACAGTAAGAAGAAGAAAATGCTAAATTCATTAAGCGAAATAGAAAATGAAGAGTATAAAAAGAAGGAATCTATTCATGATAATAAGAGATTAACGTTTGTGCATCCAATATAAAATTGTCTATTAGACATTCAATTTTTAGGAAGTTTATATTTTTAAGGGAAGTTTCTTAAATTCTTTATTAAATACTCATTAATGTATAAAATAGATTAATGTATCAGGATATGATAGCCAACTTATTCCCTGCACCTAGAGATCGCTGTTTCTTTCCCATATTTCTAGGACGCACTACCCGAATTGTCGTCGTTCTTTTTGTGGTATGTGCTCGTTTACAGAAGAATGTATGTTGAGATGATGTTGGGGGAGGACTACTGCCCGCACTTGCGTAGA